GCAATGTATTATTAGCTGGATCATAAAGCAGAGAGGATGCCATACATTCTGGGATACATCTGCAGTAAGAGGCTTCACCTCAGGTATTAATTCTGATCAACTAAGCATCAGACTTAAGATGAATGGTGAGAAGGATTCTGAGGCTGCTTCTAGACTTAGCAGGAATAGAACTTTAATACATAAGCAACAGTTACTATGGTTAATGATGGCAAGAAAAAACACACCATGATCTATTCTAATAAAAGGGTAATATGCTAATTAGACTGCTCGTCTTCCGGACAACCATCCGCACATCCTTCCTGACAAAGCCGGGCCCAGGCGAAGCCGCCTGTTGGCAGTCCCGGACACCAGTGCCTGCGGCTGCCTGCAGCCTGGGAGACGGAGAAGCTGCCCACCCTGCAGTCCCGGGCACTAGCACCTGTGTCTGGCTGTGGCCTAGGAGACAGAGAAGCTGCCCACCCTGTGGTCCTGGGCGCCAGCACCTGTGGCTGCAGCCCGGGTGAAGCCATCTGCCCACCATCCCCTGCAGCTGCAGCCAGCCTGGGCAAAGCTGGCCAGGGTCCTGTGTGCCTGTGGCTGACCAAAGGGAGGGAAGCCCAGGTCCCAGGTGCCTGTGGTCGGCTGGAGGAGGGAATCCTGGGTCCCGGGTGCAGGGCTGAGGCAGAGATGGTGAGGGGCAATCAAGCCAGCAGGGGAGCAGTTAGGGATGATCAGGCTGGCAGGCAGAAGCAGTTAGGGACAATCAGGCAGGCAGGCAAGCAGTTAGGAGCCAGTGGTTCTGGATTGTGAGAGGGATGTCCGACTTCTGGTTATCCCCTAAGGGGTCCCAAATTGGAGAGGATGCAGGCCGGGCTGAGGGACACCCCTCCCCCCTCCTGTGCATGAATTTTGTGCAGCGGGCCCCTAGTGTGTGTATCTATATATCTATCTATCTATCTATCCTAATAATAATTAACCGTACCTCCGACACACTTCCCATTGGCTAATCAGGGAGATATGCAAATTAACTGCCAACCAAGATGGCGGCCGGCAGCCAGGCAGCTGAAGTGAACAGG